GGAGCAGTGAAAATTTAGGACTATGCTGATACCATTCCAAAACAGAAGAATGTAAATTCTTTTTATATTAAAGTAAGGGCAAGCTGATATGGAGAACACTAGACAGATCAAGTCTAGTTTGCTAAAATAGTTCAGTTGAAGCTACAACAAAATTTGTGCACAAGGAGCAGATTTAGGCACTGGTGATCAGCAGATACACAATGATCTGAGCAAGGGAGTTCAGGGGAAAGCTCAGATGGGACCTCTCTCCTCTAAACACCTTCCTTCTCCTCCTGCAGTGATGTTTCAGATTTGTTTTCACCTCAGTTTGACATGCAGTTGCTGCCATTTCATTTGCAGATCTGAAGAAATCGTGTCAGTACAAGACAGGCAATAGTTTCTTTGGAGTTTTTTTGTTTTGTAGATTAATTAAATACTTATGGAAATGAGAGCTAAACAGAACTGGTTTGAGCCAGTTATTGACTGCTGACTATCTGAATCTCACTACAGCATCTGATATCTTACACCTTCTCTTCTTCCAGGTCTGGTTACAGAATGAGGATCAGCCACCACACTTCAGTGGCATTCTATGGGGTTCAGACCCAGTTCATCTACTAAAAATTAACATTTTACTTTATCTTTGTCAACATGCATTGCAGCTGCTGCGCCATTTAAAAGAGGGCATTTACGTTCCTTAATTGATTCTCCTCTCATTTCTTTGTGCTCTGATGCACTCTGCAAAGGCAGGTTGGGAGGAGATGAAGGTGAGCATGCTCTGGCACTGCCAAAACACGATTTCTGTAATGAGTGCATCCCTCATGGTGATTTCACAGGTCTAGCATAGTCTGGAGGAAGGAAGGTGTCCCACAGTCCATGTTATGGTGAAAACTTAACTTCTGTGTTTCAGTAGGGGGTCACCACGTGCCCATCGCACATCTCAGCCAGAAGTTTTCAAAGTCTTGAGCCCTGGATTGGATCCAGATTGAGTGGTTGCATTTTTCCATGTCCAGTTCCTCTCATGGATCCAGTGGGATACTGCTTTTCTCCCTTTCTCCCTCAGCCTGCTGGGTTATGTGCTCTCTGACACACCTACTGCTTTCACTGCAGAGGGGAGATATTTCACAACTGAAAGCATCATTATTTTAGCATTTTAAATCTTATATAGCAGATTTGAGAAATCCAGGTTTCTGAACCATTCCAGGTTTCCCAACACGTGGCCCATCACTAAGCCTTTCCCCAGAAGAAATGGAGCTAACAACACATTATTTTAAAGATGTGCTGTAGACACAAACACATGGAAACCTGTGAGGCACTCAGATATTACAGTAATCAAAGTCATACGAGGACCAAAGATTGACAGATCACATACTCACCAAATCAGTAAGAAAAATTTGCAAAGCATCTGGATGAAGACAAGTCCAGAAATACACATTGATATAAGATTCTTGTGCCAATATTTCTGTCCAATAGGAATTAAAATGAATTATCAATCAGAAATATTGAAGAAAGCTATAAAATGTAAAATGAAACCATATTATTATAATTTTAGTTCTTTATTTTCCTTATTTATCTTTCCATCTCTCTACTAATTTATCTTGTTTAAGAAAAATAGTATATAAGTATAGTGGAGCTTGATTACTGAGAATGACTATTAATGTAGTGTCTCAGAGCACTCTCTAGACAGTTGAAAAGCTTTTAACAGTAAAATATGAAGATTTCTTTCAAATTTGCAGCCATCTGCCTTCTAAAACTTTGTTTCAGTAGTTGCCAAGATTTCAGTGATTTATAGAAGCCAAAGTATCTGATTTTTGTCTCTCCACAAGAGATGAGAACTATTTTTTCTTATTATTTTGTAAGGGCAACATCACTATCTCAAGCCAAAAAAAAAAGGAAAAAGTTGAGCTACATTAAAGATACAGCTTTCAAAATAATTTTTAAGGCATCTGGCCTTATTTAAACCATCAAATTTACATTAAATTCCTTCAGGGATGGCTTTGCTGCTTTGTGCTGGCTCTGTGCCCTCTGAATAAACCTGGATTTAATGCATGCCACCACTGCATTTCCCTGGCTGCACTGCTGCCCAGGGTAGATATATAGCAGAGGTATAAAAAGTAGAGGTATAAAAAGCCCAACTTTGGACAAGATGATTCATTCAGGCAAGAACACCCCCAACCCTGTAACTGTTAAAGTTTCAGCTAGAGTTGGGACTTGTGACTAATGTCATTATCTATTTATTCTGAATTTATGATTACAAGTGTTTATGTACCATGAAACATTCTCTATGAGCTGGACGGGAAACTATAAACCATTTTATGAGATCTACACACGCCTGACAGCAGAACCTTAATGCAACACAAAGGTTCATCCACACCCAAGGAATGCCAAAACACATTTTTTGTATTTCCCCCCTCAGTGAGATGGACACTTGACAAAGAGAAAGGTGCCCTGAAAACCCAGGGGGGGCACATTTTGGAGGGTTCTGAGTGTCTCTAGAGAAACATCTGGAGCACTGTCAGCTTCTCCCAATTTCCAGACAAAGACAGAAGTTCTTTTAAAGCATTTGATTTTCTCAGAGGAAAGACTGACAGACGATGGACTTGGAAATGAGATGAAGCTCAACTAGAAATTTGTGTTGTGGCTCCCTCACCTATGATGAGTTATAAGCTGAATTATTATCCCTGTTTTGTGGAGGGCTGGAAGAAAAACTGAAAAACCAGGTAGTATAACCACAGAGCAAGGCAGGCACTGAGCTGAGAGCAAGTGTCACACTTCCTTATATGACATACACTCATATTCCTACTGAAACTGAAGTTTCCCTTCTTCAGATAACTAACGTGAAATAATCAACACAATCAGTACCTATAAATCCTGGCTAAGAATAGAAATTATCTGCAAGTTGAAATTACAGATGTGTAAGGCTATTATTCATATGCAGCCATTAACTGAATCTCAAGCTGAATTTTATATATATAATAAAATGTGTAGTACCAGCCTAAGCATACATCTCTGTTTCTGCAGTATGGGAAGTGGAGTTAAGACACACTCCAAGTGCAACACAAGCATTACTGGTTGCATTTGTGTTTTAAACAGAGTTAAGGAAAACTCTGAAGATGAGAAAAAAAGTGATTACTTCCCAAAATAAGAATAAACTGGGTTAAACCAAGATAGGGAGACATAACATACCTTGTTTGACTCTAAATTCAGCTCCCTGACTTGTGCAGAGAAGTTGAAGGTTTTTATATGGGTTTACTGGGAAAACCCAGATTTTATAAATAATTGCCTGTCAGGCTGTTCAAGATAGACAAACACACAGCAGACCAACAAAAACATGATCTGTCATATTTCTGAGAGAAATGTATGTTGAGTCTTCATTCTCTGGGACTTTAAGGAGACCAGTAAAAAATAAGTGCCAGTATTTTTCCTGCTTATGCATATTTTAAAATGTAAAATCTGGGAGAGAGACAGCAACAGAAGGAATTTTGATTCCAGTACCCAGTGCCTGAAATGGTTTCTTCTGTCTGTATCCCCGCAGATCGAAACTAAATACAATAAATGCTGGTGTCCTTTTAAAAAAGTCTGGATGTTTACAGAAAGCATATAATTTTCCATGATTAAGGATGCCAACAAAAATAAAGAGTGATGATAAAAAGAAAAGTTTAATCATATATTTCAAAAAGCACAAATGGAACATCAGAAAACTTCCCCTTTCCCTCATTTAATACATTTTGCACATTGCTTTTAGTCCTTTACACACAGAAAATTTCGAGAAAACAGAAGCATAAGCAGATAAAAAAAAAAGCAATTTATGAACGGCAGCAATATTGGGCATACGACGTTCACTTTTACAATATTTTGGTGGCAAAGAGACATTTTTTCCATTTATTTAAAAATATACATATATTTAAAGTTTTTGCAAGCAGGTCCAGGAGAGCAGGACATCAAAACCCCCTATAAATCACCGTAAGAGCACAGAGCAGGAGTGAAAATTAAGACCTCACATACTAAGCACAAAGGAGGAGGATGGCTGCACTATATAAAGTATTTTGCTGCTCTCTTGATCCCTTGAGTGTTCTGTATTAACTTGAGGCTTAAGCTGGATGCCAAGCCTGAGCTCTGGGCAGCTGAAGAAGACCCCTGAGCTGCGAGTACCACAGGGACACCAGCAGGATGTGCCAGCAGATCCTGGTCACAGCCTGAAGCAGGAGCCCTTTTCTCTGCTCAAGCATCATCGTGGTTAGGTCTATATTTGTACAATTTTTATGGGAAGAAATGAATGTGTTTGTGAAGCCAGCAAAGGCTGGAGGAGCAAAGGGATGGGAACAAGCATAGAGGCAGGGATTGAGATTTACAAAAAAAAAAAAATCTTGAAAACAAACAACGTTAGCTAAAATATATTAAAAAAAAAAAGGCAAAAAGATCTGGTTTCTTCTTTAACCAAATCCAACAGTAATGCTGCCTTTGTCCACAACAGGGACAACATCTGTTTCCTGCAGCAAACGCTGAGCAAGTACACAACATTAAGCCTTTGCCTACAACCACCGAGACAGACACAGTTATTGAAACACTTTAGAATGTATTTTTACAAATATGGGCCCAATCCAGTGCCAAGTCACTGCAAAGGCTTTCTTTGATATTGGACAATGATGGCTCAAACCTTAGGAGATGCCAATATTGAAAATTTGAGTGTATCTTAGGTCATCTTTGGGCCTGCTAAAAACCAAGTCTCTAACTGGTGAAGTTTAGTTCACCTGAACTTTTCCTGAGTATCTTTGCATACAAACTTGGTATGCCTGTCATCAAAATCACCTCACTGGATTAAATTGGCTTGTAATCTGTGAACACTTATATTATTTGAGATCAACAAGTGTGAATTAGTAGAAAATAGAAGGAAAAAGTTTTTCTTTTTGTAAAAATTGCAAAGAAAACTACATAACCTTTATACAACCTAATAGACCAACACAATCCAGTCTATCTCTGGCCTCTTCCTGCCCTATGCTGCTTTATAAAAAACATTTTTTGGAGAACATACAGACTTCCAGACACTTAAATAAAAATGACATGGCAGTCAGAAAGTCCCCTGCAAACTCCAGCATTGTCTGAGCTGCATTCTTGTCCACCTACACCCTATCCCAAACATCCTGCCATTAATTAGCTAAATGTTCCAGCTAGTAAACAAGAATAACGATTGAGGGGGCTGGAAAAAGAGACAGAGACAGCCAGCAGATAGTCACAACAAACCAGCCCACTCAATGGAGACATTGGAGCTTGTATTTTTTTCCTTCCATGGAGGGGAAAAGAAAATCACCTTAATATAACACTGTCTTTCCTGTTGCTGCAGCCACATCCACATCAGCAGGCGAGGAAAGTCATCCCGTTCCTGCGGTAGGCACTCTGTCAGGGAAAGAGAAAATCTGCAGTGAATTATCACATCAGCTTAAACAAGGGAAGGAGGCAGAGAGAAAGGCAAGGCTTTCTTCCTGTCTTGTAGGCTATTCTGGTTGCAATCTAATAGTGTGCTTAATCTGAACATTTCTGGTGGGGAAGCTGTAAGCAACCACTTTGTCTATTAAAAAATCAGTGTGGTTAACAAGTGGTTAGTGACTCTATTTCAGGAGAGCAAGAGATAGGCAAAAATGCAACACCCTCCTTTGTTAATTGCCTGCAAAATAGATGAGGCCAAAATACACCATTATGCTGAATCTATTTGTCCTTTATAAGCACGTATTCTCTATTCACTGTGTTCAAGAAACATTTCTAAACTTCCTGAATACTATATAAATTATTGAATAATTACAGTTTTCCAAATTTAATTTATAGTCTGAGTCTAAAGTTATATAAACAGACACTAGTATAATCCCCAACACTCCAAATCAAGCTAATCTTAAAGACTCTCTAGTTAGTAGGAAATAATTAGATATCCCATATATTGTAATCTAGGATGATGTGTTTCCAATGGTAAAGAAGCACATGAGTTAAGTGGTACTTGAGAAAATAATTTTAAAATATCCTGTGACACTGTTTCCCTAAAATATCTTTCATGCATTTTTAACAGCTCTTTCCAAATCAATATAGGAAACTATACCTTTTAATGCCACTAAAACCCCTATAATGTAAGGCGATATTCTCAGTTTAAAAGATACCTTTTTTTTTCTATTAACAATATCTTTTAGAAAGCAAAGGAATTTAAATAGTTTTGCTTTATTTGGTTCACCTTCAGCAGCCATCCTGTTTTAAAAATGAAAATGTATTCATCTATTTCATTACAGTTAGTGCTTCGTCAGATTTATTTTGTACCTCTTCAGTCAAAGTACTTAGGAAGTACCATTTATAACCACCATTTTTAGTGGCTGTACCAATTTCCTAATTAATTTCAGCCAGATCAATTTCTCCTCTCCCTAACTAGAATTAGAGTAACATTAGGAGTAAAGGATAACCTCAAACAACATTGGATATAAATAGCATTTATACTCAACTGTAAAGAAACCATTTCAAAACCAGCAAGGATGTATTCAGAGAGACATTTTACAGACAGTGAATATGCAAAAGGAAATATGTACAAGATGTTCATTACAGCATCCTTTACATTAGCACCACACTTCAGTCTGGAGATCAGGCAGCATATGGCATTGAAGTCAAAGAGCAGAACATCAGCTCTGGGATATACAGCCAAGACATGACAGTATCACCACAAACAAAACACAAAATAAATCCAAAGACTCTATACTCAAACATGAAATGCCCAAGACAGACTAGCCAATAATTCTGAAAGGATCCAACATATTCCCACAACCACAAGCAGAAAGTCCAAGGCAGTTTGGATATTCAGCCTGCCCAAACCATTATGGCTGGCATTTGGAAGTCGATGCAAAAGCAATGCTTTTAGCTGCTTGACCCCAATAGTTTCACAGGGCTTTATAACCCAAGTGACAACCTTTAACACATAAACAAAACATTCAGGACTACTGTGCAGTTTGCTTGGAGACAAATGATTCTGAGTACAAACTTGGAGCTACATGAAAGATAAAAGGTTGAATTTTGCGAAAGGAATTTTGTTGTGAAGCAAAGTTGGGCTTGGCTGGTCTCACCTGGGAAAGAATGAAGTTTAACATTTTCCAACACGGGCAGTGTTGTACAGCCAGTTACATCCCTGCAAAAGTCATTTCAGAAGCCAGTTCATGGCAGGCAGGATAACACCTTTGGAGAGTTGGGCACACCCACTGGTCTATATTTAGTGATGTATTATAACAAGTGTGGCTATAGTTAGGATTGAAAACTATTTCCTACTTCACTCCCCCTTTTACATACTTTAAACTTTCTGAAACATTTGCCCTTGGGCTGAAATTTCCTCTGCTTTAATCTCTGCCTGAAGTTCACTTTCTTTGGAAACAACTAAAAAAATTCCTGAAGCCATTATGAAGTTCAGCAATAATGAAAACAACACATTTTTTCCTTCCCAAGCCAGACAAAGTGATTCTGATATATGTATGTTTCGTTATGGAATTTAGCCATAAATTGAACCATTTTACCCAGAAACCATTCATACCTTCAACTTCAGCATAAAGGTAACTGTTTTGAAAATCAGTATTTCAGAGGAGGGAGTTTGATTCATCCCATTCCATAACAAGATGATAACACTTCGTTCTCATTTTGATACATTACCAGATAATAAAGGTTAACCTCCAAAATGCTTTTATGCAGAGCAAAAGTATTTTACAGACATCCCATCTTTCTGAGTTATACCAGATATCTTTAAGATCTATACAGCTGAATTTGTGATACTGAAAGACAGATCTTTACATGCCAAGAATCATGAAGAGAAACAGCAAGATGTTTTTCATAAAACTCACATGTGCATGTGTCCCTGCAAGAGTTAAAATGTATGTGGCAGACATTTAATGTGGTTGGAGATAATTTAGAGGGTTTGGATGACACTTCTGGGAGCTTTATGCCACTTTGGCAGCATCCACATTTAATTTTTTAAAAAACATGATTATTTGGCTCAGAATTACAGATAGAGGATGATGCAGGCTCTTGATGTGGGATTAAAATAGCTGTATCCATTTTGCTGGATATGTCTTGCTGTAAAGAGACAACATAAGCCCATGGTTCCTCCTGGAGCTCTTTTTGGAAAAGTGTCTACTGCATCCAAATTTTCTGTGTGTTCTCTCAAAATTTAGTACCAGGCTGTGCTTTGACTTTTCCTGCTGTGGTTGAAGTTCTTTAAGACTCTTGCTGTACCCATTATGTGCAGAAGTGGTCAAGAGACCAACTTTCAGACCTGGGGAATCACCTAACCTGGCACAAATTAAACAGTTTGCCTTCCCAGAATGGCTTCCATGCCCTGAAAAGTTGATCTGACCTTATTTGCCTAATCTAGCTCTCACAGAAACTCTTCCTGCTCCTTTACATCACACGACAAGATTTTTCTTCCCTTTCTCTGACCTCCTTGAAGGTAGAAGGACAGATTGCTGCCAACCAGAGCCAGAGGCTGCACAGGCTGTGTCAATGTGAAAGCAGAAACAAGACCTTCATCTTGTCCAGGCCTCTTTTACCACCTGCTCCTATTTAGGGCAGACTTGTGATGATTTTGCTTCTTGGTCCTTGCTTCCCACTCCTACCCTGACCTAGTGGGTCCATCCCTGCCCATGGCAGTGGGGTTAGAACCAGATCTTTAACACCTCTTCTAACCCAAATCATTCTACAATTCTACGCCAAGAACCTGCTCAGGCATCCTCTATATAGGAATGGTCTCATGGAAATGTTGCTCCTTCAAGTTGTCAAAGCACTTTGGATTCTAACACCGGATCTCTCTGGCAACACTACCATTATTTAATCAATGAAGGCAAGCTTTTTTCCAGCAATCTGAAAGGAGGCACAATGAAGCAGAAAAGATGGGCAGTGTTCACTTCTGTCAGTTGCCTAAAAGCAACATCTTGCTTTGCCCTTAGTTTGGTGAAAGAAGGAAAAACTAACAGCTTAAAAAGCCAGCATGGAACAAGGGAACTTGGCAAAGCAAATCCTCAAATTTCATGAAAATCATCCATTTTCTACTGTCTTTGTTTTTGGTCCCATTTCTCTCCTGCAGTGGTAGTCCTGTAGTGTCATTATGCAGGACCAAAAAGAACCACTCCAAGGAAAGGATAGCAAAATTCCTGTCTTCACAGTAGGTCTCGTGAAATGGGACAGCTTACTGAGGAGTTCATAGGACAATTTAAGGGACAGATAATTGTGTTTATTAGCAATTTAAGACTAGAGGATTGCTTTAAACTGAAAGAGATTAAGTTTAGATTGGATATTAGGAAGACATTGCTCCCTGTGAGGGTGGTGAGGCCCTGGCACAGGTTGTCCACCATCCAACCACTACAGATGTAGTTGTTGCTCCATCCCTGGAAGTGTCCAAGGCCAGGTTGGATGTGGCTTGGAGCAATCTGGACAGTGGAAGTTGTCCCTGACCATGGTAGGGGGTGGAAACTGGATGATCTTTAAGGTCCCTTCCAACCCACACCAGCCTGTGATTGTATGATTTACAGAAACAAGTCCCAGCCAAACATGAAGATGTGTGAGTACTCCTCAATGAGAGATCAGAGCAGAGTAGAATACCAAGACTTCTGAATAGGCACCTCAGCTAGAAATGGTTTCCAGTTAACAATTTACACTAGTGCATGATTTCACAGCTGTAGCATGATGAGAAAGAATAATTTTGGCAGGAGAAAGAAACAGCTGTGATTTTTGAGTGGGCTGAGGCTTAATTTTTATTTGGGATAAAATTTGGAAAGTCTGGGGTAAAACATCTCCAGCGGGCACCCGAGACACCAAGGTTTATTGGGCCAAATCCTACATCGGTTTAAGTCTGCAGCTCTCCTTGCATTAAAGTTAAGCACAATGTCACACTGCAGGCCTGTTGTACCACTTAGAGATGTTAAATCCTGAATTGTAAGCCCTGTCTAAGAGAGTTACAGAACAGCATTTATAAAACTTGAAGTCTCCCTTTCTTGGTGTCCTCCTTGTATGTGTGTGGGCAAGTGGTTTAATTACAGTGCATAAAATGGAATGGCAGACAGAGACATCCAAATCAAAGAGCAAGCCCTGGCTGAACTTCATTAGCAAACATAAATGCAAATAGACACATCTTGTTTGTGACATGCCATAGTCCTTTCTGCCTTGGGTAATTTTACTCTAATCTCTAACATTTGCATAAATGTAAATCAAACCATATGACTTGAGCAGGTTTGTGATAAGGGAATCATATGCAAAACTTCTTTCCATTAAATAATTCTCTTCATGCAGCCTTACAATGTTACTGTGAAAACTGGGGAGAGTTGGATCTCAGACAGTGAGAGCCTTTATTTAAGAACAGTGGAGGGAGCCCTGGTCTTTAAATAAGAGACATT